CATAAATTTATTACTCGAAAAACTTAGTTTGTAATTTTAATAAAAAAAGTATTTTTACCTATTTGATTTCACTGTTTCTTTTCATTTAATCTATTTTATTCGATTATTATGGGGTTATAGTGAACAAATTTCATATGATGGCATTAAAATTTAAATATCAGATAGTGTTTTAAGAAAATTTTCCGGCAATTTTACAAAAAGGAGCAGGAGTAACAGAATTTTAATCACCGAATTTGATTAATTCATATCACATATAAAAACAATCTATGAGATAACAAGCAACCAATTAAAGATATTTGATGGAATTAACACAAAATAATTGAATTTTATCTTACCTGCTTACCAGATTGTCCATACGAAACGAAGTGCTGGGACAAGTGCCTTAGTCAAATTTCCTTAGTGTGACATTATTGCAGTCAACAAACTTGAATAAGTCCCATAACTCAAGAACGCTGAATATGAAACAGTCCATGAAACAAAGCAACCAGTTGAAGTTATTTTATCTTTATTTTATAATCGTCGTTGAACAGTGGACCCAATTTTTTGGGTTTACGGCTACTAATGTTCAACTCCGTAGCCTCGTAATTTTGACCCCTATCCAGCTGACACGGGAACTTTTGGATAAAGTTTTGGGAGAAAATTTGCCTTCGTTGAAGACTTTTTAAATGGAACTAACCAGCATTTGTGTTACATTGAGAGGAAAACCACGAGAACCTCCCACAGTTAGCACAGGGACTCTAACCCATGTTCCGTCTACCACTGAGGATATTTCACGTCAGCACTGTGGTCGGTGCAAGCCGGATGCAGATTCGTATCGACCAGCCCTTACTGGGATTCGAACCAGGTTCACCTGATTGGAAAGCGAGAGCTCTATCTCCTGAACCACCACTGATCTGAATCTGACTATTGGAAACAGCAGCTTGGTGAATTGACAGTTTTTTTTTTAAAATGAATGAATTTTCTCCATCTTTGTTGTCGTAGTGCTGAGAATAGTGCCTTCGTCAAATTTCCTCGCACGATAAGATGTGACACTATTGCAATCAACAAACTTGAATAAGTCACGTAATTTGATAAGACTAAATATAAAACAGTCTATTAAATAAAGTAACCAGTTGAAGTTATTTTATTGAAATTTGCACACATTAATTGAAGTTTGAATACCTCGTTTGCTCACCTGCTTGTCCATACGAAACGTCCTCAATGGTTTCAGTGACGAGATTAGTGCTTAAACCACTACTTAAGTTACGCACAGAAAAGACTTACGAAAGTTAATCACACTACTTCAGGAAATGTGTTGCAGGTTACTTTATTATAAGGACAGAAATGGTAAAAAGGAAATAATGTAAAACAATTACAATTAAATTAACGGAGCATAACTTATACAATGGCGAACACTTAGACATCGCAAAGAAATAAATTGCCTTAAAGGACAAATTACAAGAAGTTTTTTCGCATCAGCAAAACTCAAGTTATCGGTCTATTTATGTTGATGATTCATTTGCCTAAGATCGATGCCATATCACATGAATAAATATATATCAGATGGATTATAAACTTACTTAGATTGACTCTAAACAGATTCTATTCAGTGACGTTATATGGCGCGGTATGATACAACATATGACATTTGATGATACTACAATGATACAACATTTGATACAACATCTTCACACCCTGGTGACAATTGGAGCAGCATGTCCTCATTTGGACCTTGAGCCACTAAACCCTACATTCAATCAATCACACCCTGGTGACAAATCATGTGAACAACCAAAGAGGTGTAAGCAAAGATCCTAGCTATAACCAAAAGTAAGAATTTAGTTAAGTAACGTTAGTTGACAGGAGCATCTGGTAACATAATGTCAACAATGGTATTTTATATTTTATTTTATAACAGTCAGTGAACAACCGACCCAATTTAGGGTTTGCGACTACAAATGTTCAACTCCGTAGCCTTGTAATTTTGAACCTGATCCAGAAGACAAGGGAACTCCTGGATCAAGTATTGGGGAGAAATTTGCTTTCGTGGAGGATTTCTTGACGGAACTAGCCCGCATTTGCGTTACATAGAGATAAAAACTGCGTAAATATCCCACGGTTAGCCTGACGGCAAGAGGACCCTTATCCATGATCTGTCTGCCACTGAAGACGTTGTCGGCATGATTCGCCCTCATATTTCAACTTGTAATTATTATTATGTGTTGTTTTTTATTAGTAAATTTTGTACTTTAGTAATTTGGAAAACTGTATACTTTGTTGACTCGATTTGCTATATAAAATTGAACTGGCTTGGGGTTACATGTACATCTGTCAGGAAATGTGGCATGTCCTCCCATTTGAGAAAATCGGCCAATTTTCATTTAATTTTTCAATTTTCAAATTTCAATTACCAAATTTCCGAAGTTAATCAAATAAAAATTTCTTGAGAAATTGTCGTAGCACCATTGAAATTCACATCTGTGCATTGAAATTTTGCATACATTATTAATTCACTTAAATTTGTAAAGCCTTTTACCTTTTTTATTAAATAAGTGAGGAAAACAATACGTTTTATAGACTGGATTATATGGTTAACTACATGCTTTTCCGATTCGGTTGGTTTGATAAACCATTCATGAGAAACAGTCATTCATATTTCATGAGAAACAGTCTTAGCAACAATTGTGCTTTAACAAACTGCATACATTTTTGATTAACTTAATTTTTACCTTTTTAATACCTTTTTAGTTGAATTATAGTAGTTAGGTAAATCGTTAATTTCGTTGATAGGATTATTTGGTTTACGGTATGTTTGGGTTGGTTCGGTAAACCATTTGTTTTGTTGATTAAACTAGGTTGGTAAACCGTAAAGTTTATTAATTTGATTATTTTGGTAGAGCCATGAACCTTGCAGATTGAATGGATTAGTGTGGTAAATCCTTGGATTTAGTTTTAATAATTGGATACCTTGTAGAAGGGATTAATTCAACAAATGATTAAACCGTATACTTTGGTGAACCGTATACTTCGTAGATTCATTAGTTTGTAAAAACGATGATGATTCCACTAGTTTTGAAAATCATTCACTTTGTTTGACAAACCTTCGCCTTGTTAGATTGGTTTAGTGTGATCAACCGTGTGTTGAAAGGAATATTCCAGCAAACCTTATACTTTGTAAACCAGTTTGCGTCTGCTGTAAAGGATTCATTATTTACCAATGCTTATTTCATAGAAATTTTTGTTTCAACTAAAAAGTTGTAATAGAAAACTACAGTCAGTAGAAATTTTAATATTTTCTATTTACAAAAAAAAAAATTGTTATTGAAGTACTTCATTCAACTTTTAAAAATTTGTTTACATAAAACGGAAGAAGCCGAGGATGCTTAAGCATTTAGCTTAACTTTTTACGTACTGCAACGGTTTCAACTGTTCTAACAATTCGGATCGCATTCTGTGGCTTCATGTTGCGTAAATCGCCCATTGTGGTTTATTATTATATTGCTTAAAGTGGAAAGATTGTTCGAGCATGATTAGCCCTTTAAATATTCTCTTACTGTGTGGATTATAATAAAAAGAATCATTTCGGACCCCATGATTTAGTTAAATAAAAAAAAAGCTAAATAAGGGAGACTTTCAAAAATCTACATAATACCCTCACCGCGAGAAAATTTTCCTTCAAGACCTATTCCTTAAAACTTTTTCGAATTTAGAGTCACCACTTTTCACGACTTTTTAAATAGACATTTTTATATTATTGGTGTTTTTTTTCTCCTGACTTCCCCCTCTGTTTTGTAAGAAACTATAAGTAATTTAATCATAACTCTCAGTGTCCTTATCATGAAATAATACTCTTTTGTTACTGTCAATTTTGATGTTGTTATACTCAACGGGATCACTTATGAGGAGTTAAAGAGCCTATGGTCCTTCGAAGCATGATAAAAAAATTTGCCAGATTATTGAAACAAATTGGATTCTTTTTTTTACATTTTCAAATTTCGTTCCTAAAGATAAACTACTTGACATTTTTTTTCGTCAAATGTAATTATATTGTTCCAGTTTTATATATTACCCATGAAATATAAGATAGGAATTACGCTTTTAAGGGCCACAATATTCGTCTAAAGATGTGCAAATAAAACTTACCTTGTAATTCTATAATTGAGGTTTTTACGAGATTTTCGTTTTTGTGGGACTCCAAGAAATATGCAAATCACTGTGGTCTTTTCTATTTCATCTATATGATAAAATAGTAAGTAAAGCTTGAATTAAGATGTAAAAATTTTAATGGTATTAAAGAAGAGAAAAAAAAAGATTTTCAAATACCGCTTCTGTGAGGTCCTGATCAAATCTTCGCTTGCCCCTCCTTTATAACTGATCTGACCCTAAGCCCCTAAGAGTAAAGTTTCTAAATTTGATTCACAAGAGTAAGTAAATCTGGCCCTTAAGAGTAAGTAAATTTGGCCTCCAAGAGTAAGTAAATTCAGCACTCAAGAGTTAGTAAATCTGGCCATAAAGAGTTTGTAAATAGGGCCCTCAAGAGTAAGTAAATCTGGCTCTCAAGAGTAAATAAATCTGGCCCACAGGAGAAAGTAAATATGGTTATCAAGAGTAAGTAAATCTGGCCTTCAAGAGTAAGTAAATCTGGGCCTCAAGAGATAGTAAATCTGGCCCTCAAGACTTAGTAAATCTAGACCACAAGAGTAAAGTTTTGCCCTTTCGTCCGAGCAGCTACTGCCGGGAAAATTCTTGTTCCAACACTAATTTTTTGATTGTAAAGTTCTTCCTATTATATATAAATCCCAGTTGCAAACAACATTAAACGTGCTACTTTGATTCCCCAAAGAAAAAGATAAAAAAAAAAGATAAAGGAAAAGAATAAGGGGAAAATAAAAAGATAAAACAACCCAGCGATGGAGGCACCACTGCATTAACGCGTCTTTCCAAAAATGAACTTCTTTGAAAAGAAAAAAAAAAGCCCTCATCTCATTTTCAACATTGGAAATGAAGAGATCTCAAATAACATTAAAGGGGAATACGAACTCAAAAGCAGAAGAAGAAGAAAAAAAGAAAAATTGGAAAGAAGAAAATAAGTTCTGTCGCTTGTTGAAGAGTGGTGAAGAAGAGGGTGAGTGTGAGGAGTAGAGTTGTGTTGTCTTCGCTCGGTGAGGCCAGTCGCTTGTGAGCGCCACGGCAAGAATGGAAGTGTGCCGTATTTGGGTGCTCTTACTGTTACAAGTGGCGGTGATTCTCGTGGGGCGGCAAGTCAGGGGCGAAGATACGGCAACATCCCCCGTCACAGTGCCGAGTGGAGGGTGAGTCATGATATTTCTTTTATACCAATCTAATTTGAGAATGTAATTGAGTTAGATGTTCCTTTTATTACATTTGAATAATTGTTTGTTTGGGGGTTGTCGTAAGCAACAAATTGGAATAACTCACTATTTGTCGTTTATTATTTTACGGTTTCTGCTAATTTTTAAAAATATTTGATGCTTACATTTTTTTTAGTACAAAAAAAAAAATAAATGAAGGTTTATTTTATCACGTGAAATATTCGCCGTTTCTTATTTTTCAGTTCCAATCGGGGAAATGTTTGTAAAGTGTTATTTTATCATTTGAAATATTCGTCTTTTATAAATTTTTTTAAAAGATCCTATGAGTTTTTGAAAGTGTGTGATTACAATTATTTTTAAAAGGAAGAAAAGAATATATATAGCTCAGTTTTATGTTGTAAAATACCATGTATATAATTTCGGTTAAATGCTTAAAAATAAAGTAAAAAGCATGAAGTCACCTAAAATGTAAATCGTATTTTTAGTTCCTGTGATTTTCGAAAAATATGTGATTCTAATTTTTTAATACAAAGAAAAAAATATGAATCTTTGTTTTACTTCCTAAAATATCAATTAAATTTATTAATAAAAAGTAAAAGCAACATGAAGCATTCTCATTTTTTAGCTCTTGTTATCTTATTTTTTTAAAAAATATAACATCTACCTTCTTTAATACAGAGAAAAAGGTATGCAAGTCTAAAATATCTAAAATATTCGCCGATATTTTCAAATTACTGCAAATTTTTAAAGTTACGCAAATCCTATTATATTAACATAATTTCTTGCTTAGAGGTTGTTGCCAGGGACAAATTGAAATAACAAAGTATTATTTAACAGTTACTATGAATTTTTAAAAATATTTGATCATAAATTTTTTTAGGAAAAAAAAGAGTCTGGAATTATTTTTTTATACTGGAACTAAAATTCTTTTTTTAGTTCCAGTGTATTTTTAAAAATATGATACAATGACTTATTAATACAATGAAAAAACTATAAAGCTCGATTTTATCCCCCAAAATATCACGTTTATATTATCAACTGAATTCATTAATACAAAGCAAGAGCTCATAAAGCTCTGTTTTATAACCTAAAAATATTACCCTTTTCTCATTTATAGAAATATTTAAAAATAGGTGATATTTAAATTTTTTTAATACAAACAAAATTAGTATGGAACTTTATTTCTGAACTCTCCACAGTTTCTGATTTTTGAGTTCTTGCTAATTTTTAAGGATACGAAATTTATATTTTTTTGAACAATTATTGAATTAATTACATTTACATGCTTGTTTTAGTAAGGGTCTTTCGTAAGAAATAAATCGACAAAGAATTAATATAGCAAGCAATTATATGTTAATTAATTAACAGTTCTTGCGAATTTTTAAAAATAATAGATTTCTATATTTTATGAATGCATAAAAAATGTGCATAGAAAATTCGAAGCTTTATTTCATCGCTTAAACTATTTATCTTTTCTCATTTTTTAGTTCCTGTGAATTCTATAGAAATGAGTAATTTTTAGCTCTTTTTAATATTAAGAAAAAAATATGAAGCACTATTTTATCGCTTAAAATATTTGTCTTTTCTCATATTTTAGTTCCTGCGAATTCTATTGAAATGAGTAATTTTTAGTTCTTTTTAATATTAAGAAAAAGATATGAAGCACTATTTTATCGCCTAAAATATTTATCTTTTCTCATTTTTTAGTTTCTGTGAATTCTATAGAAATGAGTAATTTTTAGTTCTTTTTAATATGAAGAAAAAAAATATGAAGCACTATTTTATCGCCTGAAATATTTGTCTCTTCTCATTTTTTGTTCCTGTGAATTCCTTAGAAATATGTAATTTTTAGTTTTTTTAATGCAATGAAAAACGTATGAAATACTATTTTATCGCCTGAAAGACTTATTCGTATATTTTGGTTCCTGAGAATTTTTAAAAGCATGCGATTTTATTTTTTTAAATATATATAAAAGACTATGAAGCTGCATTTTATTTCCTAAAATATCATCAAAATTAGCAACTAATTGGTTTTAATACAAAGCTCGAATTCATGAATATTTTCCGTTTCTCATTTCTAAAGTTCCTATTAATTCTTTAGAAATATGCAATTTTTAAAATTTTTGATATTAAGAAATGATTATGCTACTTCATTTTGCAAAATTTTTGAAAACAAATAGTTCTTATTTCTTTAAAATTAATTAATTTAACTGTTCCATTTATTTCTTGTACATACAATTGTTCGTTATGGGGTTGTCACCGAAAATATATTGGAATAATAAAATATTAGCTGTTTAGTGCTGCTAAAAGCTTTTGGAAACATTTAATTTCTCCATTTTTTTTAAATAAAAAGAAAAGCGTGAAGTGCACTTTTTTATAATCTATAATATTTTTATTGTTATTTTATTAGCGCCTGTTAATTTTTTAGAAATTAATTCAATTTTTTTAAATTTTTAATTCGCAGAAAAGAATAAATTAAGCTGTGCAACCATTAAAATACAAGCTGTTTCTAATTTTTTAGTTATTAAAATTTTTTAAAAATATGTAATTCTTAATTTCTTAAGCGTTCTTTTAATGCATTTACATAACTCTAAAATATTTGTTCGGGGGTTGTTGAGAGAAATAAATTGGAATAACAAAATGCTTGATGTTTTTTTTTTTTCATTAACAAATGAGAATATTAAAAAATATGTTCATTCTGCATATTTTATTTTAATACAGATTTAAAATTTGTTATTAAACACATATATTATAATTTGTTGCAGTTCTGTATACATGCTAAAATACGAATTTTGATTTTCAATTTTTTTAATAAATAGAGCACGATGTTTCTTTTATTATTTTTAAATATTACTATTATTATTTATAATCTTTTATTTTATTGTTTTTAACTTGTTTGCTTAAGGATTATCACTAAAGAAATAAATTACAAAATATTTCATTTGACCTATTTGTTACTGTTCGATATTCCGCCTATTAATAAAGAGAAAGAAAGTTATTTCAGATTTAATTTTTTAAATCAGTATGAGAGGAAGAAAATAATGTTGCTTCTATTGCTACTTGCCAATACCAGCAAGCTTGCTTGGGAAACCAAGCGAATTTCCGGCAGAGGATGCGCTTTTTATTTTTCAGTGGCTCCATCTAAGGTCAAAAATAAGATTTCAGCCACGCACACGCACGTCACAGCCCGTTTTAAAAGGTGGACCCATTCATACATCCATTCATTCATCCACAGATCGTATTTTTGAACTGAACCGGAGAACGATCTATCTCCAACGTGCACCAACCACCATTTAATACAACGGGATTCAGCCTTTGGGATTCGAACTCCCGTTCTTACGAATACGAGTCCAACGTCTTACAAACCAGGCTATCCCTACCTGGGAAAAAAGAATAAACGCAAAATATTTACTGTTTCTTATGTTTTAGTTCCTGCAATTTTTTTTAAAAAAAACATGTAATTCTTAATTTTTGTTAATTAATTGGGTCAAGTGTTATTTTTGAATTAGCTATTGTATTGGCATAGTTGTACATTGCTTGTTTAAGAGTTATTGCAAGGAAAAAGAAGTAATAACAAAATATTTTCAGTTTCCAATTTTTTAGTTTGCATATTTTTTTAAATAACATAATTTTCAAATATTTAAAGCGAACAAAAAAATTTTAAAAAGCGAATTGCGAAGCTCTATTTCATCCCCTAAAATATTTGTCGATGATTATTTTTTAGTTTTGTTAATTGCTGTGAATTTTCAAAAAAGGAGAAAAAAACTAAATCATTTTTCTATTTTTTTATACAGAGGAAAGCTTGAATCTCTATTTTATCATCTAAAATGATTAATTATATTTTATCAAATTTTTAGAATTCGAAAGTAAGTATTACAATAATTGCACAATATTGACACAATATTAGCTTTAACCATTAAAAAAAAACGATTTTTTCTTGTCTTTCGACGTAAAGTTTATTATATTTTTGTAATGTTTAATTAACCTAGAGAAAAATATAAAAAAAATGTAAATTTAAAAGTAATGAGGTAAATTTTCAAGTTGTACAAAAATAGCAATTTTTACCCCCCTAGAAGCGTAAAGGATTTTTCGAAGTTTCATCCAGAAAAATAGGCATTGTTTATCATTTCAGCATAAACAATGTCATGCTTGAGATATTTTTTGCTGTTAGCAGTTTTCGTATGGAATAAATTGGAATAGTGAAGCACTTGCTGTACATTATTACATAACTATTGTATATTTCAGCATGTTTTGATAGTTTAATAATAAGCATAATTTTCCACTAGTTGAAAACAATATCTTTAAAGATTTCATACGCTTATTCAATTACAGAGATCACAGACAGAAAACTCATTGTTAAGAATCAATGTTATCCCCAATAATTCTTAAAGAAAAATGAAGTAAAGACCAATATAAGGTTCTATAAATTTATTCTTTCCTTTCTCTTACCAGTTTGCTAAATTAAATTTAAAACAATTTTCTTTTAAGGAAGAATTATTTTTTAAAAATATGCTTTTAAGCAGAAATTTAAAAAAATGATTTTAGGTTTTTCAGTCCTCTTTATGGACTACAATTACACTTAACAATACACTTGTAATTACACTTAACAAAAGTATTGATTTAAAATATTTTATTAATAACATCTGATATACAGTTGAGATGAGAAACAAAAATTGTCAGAGACCTTAGGTTTAAAAAGTCCATAAAATCTTAAATTATAATTCCAGATACGTATCAGTCTAATCTTTAGATGTCCTTTCTTTATTTCAATAGAATTTAAAAAAGTTTTGAAAGGTTATGAAATAGGCAACTATCTGTTATGATTGAATTTATCTTATACTTAGTTACGCTTCACATCAATATACTGAATGATGAATATTAGTAAGAAATCTTAGTAACTTCTATTCTCGAATGAAATGGTTAGGAAATTCTATTAAACCTAAGATGAGAATTCCTGATATGTATTCGCCTGATGTCTA